CAGGCTGGGGAGAAAGGTATTTTAATAATGTAAATTATGTGAAAAATAATGCGTTTTTCGAACCACCAAGCATGAGAGCATGTTCTAGTACACCCCCAAAACAAAATCAAGACTTTGTAAAAGAGCATAATAGGACCCCTTTAAAGAATCATCAACACAATATGTATCATGGTTTCAACAAAATTGTTTTCAGCTTTATATAAATAACTGTTTTCAGCATTGACAATAATAATAAATGTTTCTTGGGGACCAAATCAGCATATTAGAATGATTTCTGAAAGGATCATGTGACTGTAAAGACTGCAGTAATGGCTGCTGAAAAAAACATTAAAAAATATATTAAAATAGAAAACCATTATTTTAAATTGTAATAATTTTTCCAGTTTCGTGTTCTTTCTGTATTTTTGATCTAATAAATGCAGTCTTGGTGGGCATGAGTGACTTCTTTTAAAAACATTAAAAAAACCTTACCTACCCCAAACTTTTGAATGATAGCATATTGTCAACAGCACAACAAATTTTCCCATATTTGTAAGAACTGTGTTTAGAATTAAGTATGGTTCCTAAATCGTTATTCACCCTGTGAAATGTTCCTGTGTTTTATTTCTAGATCTGAAGAAGGACTGGTCCGATCATGCTCTGTGGTGGGAGCAGAAGCAGCAGTGGTTGCTGAGGACCGGCTGGACACTGGATAAATGCGGGGTCCACGCAGACGCTCGCCTCGTCTTCACCCCACAGCACAAGCCTCTGCGACTGGGCTTGCCGAACGGGGCTACGCTGAAAATGCGAGCCTGTTTCTCCAGTTCTGCATTTCGCACGGTCATGGGCATCTGCAGGGTTCTCAGTAAGTGAAGGATCAAGATTGAATCCAACACCACCTCTATAAGCAATCTGTTACTAAGTTTCAGGTTTCCATTTCCAAAACGAATCTTTGGTGCTTTCAGATTTACGTCACCCAGAGGAGCTCTCCTTGCTCCGTCCTGTTGAGGAGAAAAAGAAAAAGAAAGACAAAGATTCCTCAGAAGAGCTGTATGATCTCACAGATGTTCCTCTAACCGCAGGTGCACAAAATAACACATTAAAGAAGCTTTTAATACACTGCCGTTCAGCAAGGAGTCACTGGAGTCAGCAAGATTGTATGCTCATCAAGGCTGCATCGACTTGATCAAAACGATTTTTTTATTTAAAATACAGTAAAAACAGTACTACTATGAAATATTATTACAATTTAAAATAACTGTTTAATACATTTTAAAATGTAGTTTATTCCTTTGATTTCAAAGCTGAATTTTCAGCAGCAATTACTCCTTCAGTCTTCAGTGTCACAGGATCCTTCAGAAATCATTCTAATATGCTGATTTGCTGCTCAGGAAACATTTATTATTACCAGTGATGAAAATTGTTGTGCTGCTTAATATTTTTGTGGAAACTGTGATACATTTTTGAGTATTCTTTTGATGAATAGGAAGTTTAAAAGAACATAATTTATTTGAAATATAAATATTTTGTAACATTATACATGTCTTTACTGTCACTTATGATCAGTTTAATGTGTCCTCGCTGAATAAAAGTATTAAAAAAATACTTACTGACCCCAAACTGGAACGGCATAGGCCTCAATTTAATAATAATAACACGCAGTTATCATTTTGGTCACAGTATTTTAGTTTAAAGTGGATTTTATCTGGACGTAGGCTCTGTTCAAGCTCTGTACAATGGCATGCCGGCTCATTTTGCTGACTCTACGAAGACTGAGGCTGTGTATAAAATGCTGTCTGTCGGCTTGCCCTCACCTGCCCCTGAAGCCATCGCTAAACTCTACCGGCCAGCCAGTGTGGTGGACAAAACACATATTCACACCAGGTGCAGCAGAGAAACAAACACAGACTTTAAAAAATATTAATCCACATTTCATCCTTAATATAAATGCTCTTCTGTTCCCTGGAGGTGGCTGGATTCATCTCGTTCACTAATGCAGCAGGGAATACAAGAGAATGACAAACTATGGCTTCGTTTCAAATACTACACTTTCCATGATATGGATCCCAAGGTAGGGGTGTTTGGTTAGGACATGTGTGGACAAAGGATAAAGTTTTCTAAGAGTCAAGAAATTAAAATCGATTCTCTCTTTGTTGTAGTATGATGCAGTGCGCTTGACGCAGTTGTATGAACAAGCTCGCTGGGCTATACTTTTGGAGGACATAGACTGCACAGAAGAGGAAATGATGCTGTTTGGAGCCCTGCAGGTAG